AGAGAGAGAGAGAGAGAGTATAGTTTAATTCAAAGTAACCCACAGATGCGTCCAGAACCCTGCTGCGCCCTTCAGATTACTTGGACGTGAGTGAATAGGGTTAGCTGCGGTAACCCCTGACCCGAAAACCCTGATGTCCAATGGAACTCCCACAGGGCCTCAAGTACCAGTATAGGGTTTCGGGATTAATGATAAGTATATGTTTTCGGGATGTAGGGTTTCTATAGTAGGAATTTCTATTCTGGTTTGGGTAAGTATCCCTCGTAACGGAACCTAGGACCCTTTGCAAATGTCAATGCTCAATGCCGAGTTGAAAATCAGCTTCAATCACGCGGGCGACTGGAGGCTGGTTGTAGGTCCCTGGAGCACCGTCCTCGAGAGTCATCCGTCGAAAGTTTAGGTAGCATTTACATTGGGTGCTGCCCCGACACAGTAACAGTCCATAACAAGGGTACCAAAACAACATATCTATAAGTATGTATATCTCCATACATATATATATATGTATGTATGTATGTATGTATGTATTTACTATTCAAGCGTCTCGGCCCGAACTGAGTGGCCTCTTAGCTTCCTCCTCATGGGCGTACGGCACGGAGTATGGTACGCTCGATTGCCTCCTCTGATTTTGGCACTGATTTTCTATGCTCCAGCGACTCCGGCGACTCCTCTGATACGGCCTCTGCTGCAGCAGCCCGTGAAAGGGCAGGTCGAGCCGAAGCAGAGCGTAGGCGTCGCAACTTTCGCGAGTGGTATCGCCGACGGCTGGCTGTTACGCTGTGCGAAATCGCGGTCGAAGCTATGTACCAGCGGGACTGCCAAAGCTCCCGACAGGTCGCAGGGCGCCTCAGTGCCTTCAAGCGCCGGTGTGCGGGTCACACCATGGCGAGCGTGGTGGAGTTTACCCTTCCACAACTGGATCAGGGAGCGGCGCGGGCTCTACATCATGACTACGACCTCCTGCAGGAGCTCTACGATGAGCCCTTTCCCCCGAATGACGAGACTTGGATTTACTCTGACATGGTTGGAAGGCCACAGGACCCCAGTCGTGCTCAAGTGGAGCAACGGGTACAGCTTTTCTTGCTGCAGTCATTGGTGCCTCGACTTCAGTCTGCCGGCCCGGAGTTCCTGCACCGTGCCATTCTCTGCGCGGGAGGAGGCTTGTACCGCGATTTTATCTGGTTGGTATGGCCGCTTTTTACAGGCGATGACCGCTTTGCCTTCCAGCAGTGGTACTATGGATGGTCAGAGGGCCAGCCTGCAGATGGGGCGGAAAGCGAGCGGCCCGAACCGGCCAGAGGCTCCCGCGATCCTGAGCCACGCTGAATTGGTTGGAAGCAGAGAAGGAGAGGGCCGCCCTGGTCCCAAGTCCAGGGCTGAGGTCGTTAGTGTCTTTTGGTGGCGGAATGTGTCCGATGATGAACATGGAGGTGCGCCACTTGCTGCAGTTTTCATTGCTAGACACTGCGATCTCAGAGACGTGAGGGTTAGGGGTAGTGCAGGTCGACGCCCCCTTGGAGCCTGTAAAGTAGCTCCGCGTCTTCGCATACACCTAGGCGAAGCCGTTCGACCCCCAGGGCACATTGTTCATGGTGAAGCCATAGGACATCCCGCTGCTCACCTTACAAATGTAAATGATATGGTTCCCCAAACCTCAACTCAGTTTTTCCGATCACAGGAGCTGGCGCCCTCTCTGCCCGCACAGGCCATTTTGGCACATGCAGAGACGGCGCAGCTCCCAGCAGCCTGCACACATGCATGCCATTCATGCCATACCTCAAATTGGGCGTCAGGTATATGTTCTGTTCTAGCTTTCTTGGTTGCGTACCGGGTCTGGCTGACTTATAACAACTCTTCCCCTAGATGGATAGTCACAAGAGTCTGCCCAGGCCAGTACCGCAGAAGACCCGGACGGCTGAGCCACCCGAGAATCCCGCCAGGACGTTTGCGAGTGCCACCCCACGGCGCCGAAAGTTGCACCTCTCACAGCCCTTCACCCTCTACTTCGTACCGTTGTGGGTGTCTTAGGCTTTGGTTCCTTCTAGCATGGTTGACTTTTGTCGGGCCTTCTGAAGGTCATAGGACGACCCCCTCTAGTCGCCCTAACCCGGTACTCTCCACTGGCAACTGCCACGTTCGGGCCTATGGTGCGCTGGCTCGCCAACTGTCCTTTGCCAGGAAGCGCTCGTATAAACGGGCGCAGCTCCGTGCGATGCGAGACGGAGTAGCCGCTTATCGTGGCCGCATACATGACCCGCAGTCCTTGTCCCTGCAGTATATCGGTAATGCCCCTAAAGCCCGCAGGCCTGCCTCCGCAGTTTCCCCTGGTGCGGACACACTGCGTGTAGTCACTTGGAATTGTGGCGGCTTGCATCAAGTCCGATATGCCGAGCTACTAGCGTGGCTTGAGGAGCAAGACTCGTTTGATCCAGTACATGTCATGTGCGTACAAGGAACACACTGGCCGTACCATGCCGAATACAGCTCCGGTCCGCGCCAATTCGTGCATTCCAGCAGCGGCACGGCCTCGGGAGGAGTTCTGTTCATCATTCACAACACTCTGACCCAAGACGGTGCTGTACGTTATGCCGAAGTCATACCTGGTAGACTTCTGCATCTACGCGTAGAAAGCTCCCCACCGATTGATTTTATGGGAGTATACCAACATAGTTGGAATCTCCACCATAAGGAGCTACAGGGTAACAGTGAAGAAAAACTAGAGCAACTCCTGAGGCAGCGTGCGTGTGTGTGGGACCGTCTTCGAAGCTGGACTGCGTCGATTCCGGCTCGCAACAAGTTAGCCATTTTGGGTGATTTTAACTGCACACTCGCCCCTAGTCCCCCGAATGTAGGACCTGGAACCGCCGGTCATCGTAAGACAGTGCATAAGGATGCCCGTGTTTTTCAGAATCTGGTCACCTCGCAGGGACTTGTCGCCGCTAATACTTGGGGCACGCGGGATCGAGCAGGGACCTTCTTGCAGCCGACCAGCCCTAGTATACAGCTCGACTTTTTGCTGCTTCGCCTGCCTTGCCAGCCCAAGGAGCTGTGTGCAAAGGCGCAGCCTCATGAACCGGTAGTCCACCCGACAGGTTTTCGACACGTACCGCTGTCGGGCCGGCTAGAGATCCCGGCAGTCCCTAAGCGTAGGTCGACGCCTGTTCTTAGCGTAGCCAAAGCCCTAGAATCCACCCGTCGTGACCCGCATTTGCTAGAGCGATTCAGAACAGAAGTAGCCGCAGAGCTCCCGCGGCATGCCAGCATTGATCATTGCCTTCGTGCAGCTTGGGCTCGGGTGACGCGGCGTCCCCGTCCAGAGGCTCCGGCGACTGCCACAGCCTGTATATCCCGCCCCACCCTGAAAGACTTTTGGGCGCTTAAACACTCTGTTCGCCGAGCTCTTAGCCAGGTTGTACAGTATCACGCCCCAGTCATTTGCTCTGTTGCAGTGGCATCGCCGGCAGCGGTCATTGGCTCTTTTCCGCGTTCGAGTCGAGGTCTGCGACCACTGTTTCAAGCGTGGCGAGCTTCGGTTGACTTCTGCAAGGCACAACGTATGCTCCGGCGGCACACCCGCCAGCAAAAGAATGCACATGTGGAATCTCTGATTAGGGAAGCTCACGCAGAGTCGGGCAAAGGCCTTACAGCAGTGCATCGCTTGACCCAGCGCTTGAGACCGAAGACCTCCAGGCGCTCAATCCATTTTCGCCGAGACACGGGTGAGTTGCAAACCCCGGCTGAGGAACTTGCCACGTTACGGAGCTATTTTCAGGATTTGTATGAATCAAGCGCTGTTGAGAACAAAGACTGGTCCCTTCAGCAAGCCTTTAATGTCACGGATTTAGAGGTGCACAGAGCCCTGTCAGCCTTGATGATTCGCAAAGCTCTCCCGCCGGGGCACGCTCCTGCTTTGCTGTGGCACGCTACCAGCGACTTGCTTCACCAACGGGTGAAGGAAGCCCTTAATTCGTGCCTGGGCCCTGGGAAGATTGAGCTGGACTCAGACTGGAACAAGTCGTACTTAACCTTGATGCCTAAGGTGGGCAAACCACCTAGCTGTCCTGCGAACTTGCGTCCAATCAATCTCTTGCCGGCTTTTCCTAAAATGCTGGCACGCATAGCAGCTGATCGCCTCACGCCCCTGGTGGCGCACGCACTCCACGGCCTTCCCCAGTATGCATACTCCGGGGGTCGTCAGACTTCAGATTCGCTGGACCGCGTGCTATCGCACTGTCAGGGCATTACAGCTAGGCTAGCGGGGCTCCCCACTGGCACACTGGGGCGCAGTGCGCTGCATGCCCGCCACCAACTGATCGGAGGATTGCAGCTTTCCCTTGACCTTAAGAAAGCCTTCGATCGATTACCCAGGTGTAAGTTGCTATTGGCACTACATAGGGTCCAAGCCCCACCAGACTTAGTGTCGTTGGTCATGTACATTCATGACTCGGCAGAACTGGTTGTGGAAAGGCATGGCAACCAATCCTTCGTCCGCCTTGGCTGCGGTATCAGGCAAGGCTGTGGCCTATCGCCTATACTATGGCTGGCCTTCACTGTGCTGGTCCATGACGTACTGGGAGAATATTTGCTTGCAGAGAATTTGACGGGTTTTGCCGATGACTATCATTGTTGTTGGGAGGTCCAGTCCACATTAGATTTTCACAACGCTTGCAAACAGATATGCCGCATCATCATTGACTTGGAAAGTTTAGGCATGGAAGTGTCGGTGGATAAAACGGTCATCCTCATGGCGATCAAAGGGGCATCTGCTGCCAGCCTCCTGCGGCAGTACACTTGTCGCACGCACGACGGCCGATACCTGCTACCGCGGCTTGCCGGCCGATCCTTCCGCCTCCCTATTCGCCGGAAGCATCCTTACTTGGGGGTGCAGATAGGATATGGTCAATTCATCAGGGACTCAACTACGTACAGAATTCAGCAATCCTGGATAGCGTTCAACCGTCTGAGGATGTTTTTGAAACATAAAGCCCTGCCCCTCTCCCGAAGAGTTGCTTTATGGCAAAGCTGTGTATGGTCTATCATGCGATACGGTCTTCCGGCGGTAGGAGTGGATGCGCGTAGTGCCAGTTCGATAGAAGCAGCGGTTGCCAAGCAGTTGCGAGTGGTGGCACGTAGCCCTGCACATGTGACGCACGAAACCAACAATGCTCTACTTACTCGACTTGGGGTGCAACCACCACTTGCACAGTTGGAACGAATGTGTAAGGACCGGATTGCTCAGAGTCGAGGCAACCTTTCACATTTGCTCACCCCTCGCATTTTGCAGTGGCAAGACCTGGTTCTCAGTAGCTTTGCTGTGCAATATGAGCCACGGCGCTCGACGCGGTTAACTGAGGTGACGCAGGTTCTACGCATACGCTGCCAGTGCCAGGTCTGCGGCCAGGCTTTTCCAAGCACACATGCGCTCAGTGTTCACATGGGCAAGGCCCATGCCGAAGCAGGAGTGCGCAAGGAGCAGAATCCTACTGTCAAAAATCGACGCAGGGATGAATTTAGACAGCACTCGCTCCGCGGACGCCCTCAATGCTGGCACTGTCGTAAATCCTTTTACGGTTGGCCACAGTTCATGGGGCACTTTTCCCAGCAAGCATGTCCAATACTGCACCATGCATCGACTGCCCCGACCTCAGTTCTTGAAAGCAGTCCTGCGCCCACAAGCCCACCTGTTGTAGCCAACCGTCTCGTAGAGTCTCCAGGCGAGCAGCCACCTGTCTCCTCTGCTCAAGGGGTGCCCGCACCGGGAGGAGAATTTTCCGAGCAGCCTGCCACGAGGCCACAAAACGAGGTACCGTTGCTACAAAGGCCGGAGCTGCAAAAGCTTGCCACACGTCCGACCCTTCAACAACTAGCGGCAGAAATCTGTCGCACCGACACGTTGCATCATTGTCCGGAGTGTTTTCAGTTCTGTGTGAAGCCCAGCTATGTTGCTCGACATGCGGTACAAATGCATTCAAACATCAGAGATCACCAAACCCGTGTACTTGCATGGATCAAGCAGCATATCAGGGTGCGGCGCCCGTGTGAGTGGTGTCTTCAGTGGTACTCCACCCCGCCGAGAGCTCATATTCGAGCCTGTCCTGTTCTTTGGGTCTGTGGCCACTTCCTTGCACGGTTCGACAGCCTAGAAGACCGAGGTCAGAGTCTTCTCGATGGCTTTTGTCGCGCTGGACGAGCTTCAGAGTGCCTCCCAGGAGCTTGCACAGTTTTCGGCAATGATGGCTCAGAGCAAGCCCTCTCCCTCACCGGAAGCCTTGTCCACGAAGCCACCGTCTTCCGCGGACCTGGAGACGGAGGAGCCAGCAGCGTCGGTGATGGACCTGGACCCGGAGAGGGAGAAGCGAGAGAGGGCACCCCTGGAGCTGGGCGAGACGGCGCCCAAGTTCGCCAAAGGAGACACCCAGGCCAGCAGCCAGGAGAAGCCTCCAGCAGTCACGGCCGCAGCTGCTCCCCCCAACCTGGCCCCAGCTCCGAGCAACTCCCGCGAGGATCGAGGTCGCAGCGACCACAAGAACTGGTGGGGAGGAGGCAGCAATCGCCGACAGGGCCGTGCGGACCAGGACGGCTGGGACAACCAGTGGCCAGCCAGGAGGGACAACGACCGACGCGACAACCGCCGCGACGACCGACGGAGCGATCGCGAGACCCGGGACACTCGCCTACGAGAGTTGCTGCTTGCGATGGCGAGGTTGCTCCTCCGCCTCGAGGACGCACAGTCCGTGATGCTGCTCGACACAGAGTTCATCTTCTTTCTCCAAACCAAGGCGTCCGGCAATCAGTGGGCGATAGTAGACAGCTTGCACCAAGTTGCTCTACGCTGGCATGCGATGAAAGAGCAGGATCCCGCATCCTTGCAGCAACCGATGCGAGTTGTGCTGCTGACGTGCCTCTTGGAAGCCCTGTTGAATCAGATGCAGCTCCTCGAGTCCAACTCGGAGGCGATGCAAAAAGCGGTGGAAATGGGTCTGGTCGAGGGCAGCAGCTATGTGTATTTGCAATGGGATTCGTCCCTGAAAAAACACATCAAGTCGGCCCAGGAGCCGCTTCCGCACCAGACTGCAGTTCAGATGGTGCGCCAGCTGCAACACCTGCTGATTTGCCCGGATACAGTCGGCAGGTTCCATGCACTGCGCAAGCTCGCACCGAATATGAGCTCGGATGTGGTCCCCTTCAGCTTGGCGGTGCAGAATGACTGAGTGGGGCAAGTATCCAACATTTCAGGTTTATAAGGTCTATAGGGCTTAGGACTTAGTGATTATAGGACTTAGGGTTGGGAACTTACCTGGGTTGAAGACGTACTTATTACTTTAGCCGGCTTCCATGGTCGACTCTTCTCCAGGATGGCTGTAATGTTTAATCTCTCTTTCCCGAAATATTTGAACCCCCCCCCCCCACCCACCCGACCCCACCCTAAACCCTAAGCCCCCTAAGCCTTAAGCCCTATAAACCCTATAAGCCCTTCTCCCTCAGCCCGATCCTTCGTATTCGGGGTCAAAGGTCATTTTTCCAAGCAAGTGAACACAGCCACGAGGGAGTTCCTCTTCCAGAGAGCCCAATACCCCTTAAGTACGGAATATACCTTAAATCATAAGGGGCCTCATATTATGATTTAAGGTACAGTATATTCCTCAATTAAGGGATTTTGGGCTCTCTGGGCTTGCATGGCAAGAAACTGTGCGGCCAAAGCCTCGCGAAGTACACTGGTTTCGATTGACTTCGAGGTGTCTTGCATGTTGTTAGCAAAGCGCTTGCGCTTCAGGATTTTATGTTTAAACTCGTGAACGAAGCAGCTCAACAACATGTGGTGTTGGGTCAGAAACTCAGGGAGTTGTAAGGCCACATGAGGTTTCCCCCCAAGTACCTACTATATAGGGTACTAGAGCCCGTAGGGCCCTATATAGTAGGTACCCATAGGCTCCTTAGTAGTTCCTTTTTGGGGGAAGTTGTGAGTTTCAGGGTTTTCCGGGTCAGTTTCGGTGTTGAGCTTCGGGTCTCAGTTTCGGGTCCGGCC